CTACTACTACTGCTACTACTACTACTACTACTACTACTACTACTACTACTACTACTACTACTACTACTACTACTACTACTACTACTACTACCACTATAGTCTAGGCTCTGGGGGAGGGTGTTCGTGTACATGACTCTTTTAGAGCAAAACCTTATAGTTTCTCATTCCGTATGTTAAAACTATGGTTAAGACTCTCAAAAAAAGGTAACACTTCTGGGTCAAGTACGTTTTTTCTGTACAGCTAATTATGTGATTTTCGGTTAGGCGCCAAAGTAAAAAAGGACAATATTGAAGTTTCAGAGCATAAATATTTATTAAGCAACCATAAACTTTCAAATTGCACTGAATTTCATTGAATGAGTATTACTTATAACTTTCTAGCATGATTTGTTTGCCATAAACTTTGTTTCATGGTACGAAATGGCAACATTTTTCTCAATTTTAGCCAAAAAATAGCGAAAAATCGCGTTCACTTTGAAAGTAGCTCTAGGTATGATTGCTTCTCACTCATCCAATATTGTAGCTAGAGCTACCAAAATTTGCCAAACGTTTCCTTATTAAATACTCTAAGTGACCCAACTTTCGAAATGATGCTTCCCCGCTCTATATGATGCACAGGGGGCTATTGTAACTCAGGGTCAACCCTACCTCCAAATAGCGCCTTTTGCGAATTTCGTCAAATGATGATGAACTAACTCCGTAAGTAAGTGAAATAGGAAGTTGATTTTGTGGCAACATATAGGTTTTTCAACACAAAGGAATTGATTGACACCATTATTATACATTTTGGAGTTTACCTAATTAGAAGAAGTATAAGATGTCTGCCAAAAGCGATAATTAAGACATGAATTGTCCCATAGAAAGATGATTGAAGGATATACATGCATCATAGAACTGTACAGGTGGACACTTTAGTGAAAAATAATGCCTAGGTATAAACTAGCCTAAAATATTCCTTGTTACCATACTCAGTTATAAATATATACAATGTATTTACCCTAACCGAACTTGAGACAAGTACAACTGAACCGAGCATGCTAGACAACATAGCAGAACCCAACCTAATCCTATCAAACAATTGGGTTTTTACAATTATGTGGTAATGTTTTCCTGCACTTATAAAATTTACCACATTTCACCCAGCCTTTCTACATGGGCAAGTTAACCTTGAACACTTAGCACATGAACAGGAGACTGACCAATGAGGCTTGAGGGTTTTCCACGATGTTGCGGGTACCAGCTGTTCTTGGTCGTTCACATAGCCATAATCGTCTGGCTTTAGTGTCTCCACGTTTTCAGGGTCGAGGTGGCACTCCAAGGCATGGTTGATGGTGTAGGCATTGTAGAATGCACGCTTGATATGAGGCAGGAGTCCCTGACTAGTCGGTGGTGGGCTGTAGAAAGTACCCTCTTTGCTGAAGTGGGAAACCTTTGCTCGAATTTCAGAGAAACGCTTAGCATTGCTACCTCTTTTTAGTACCTTCACTAAGAAATGCTCGGCGTTGCGGGTCATGGCCGGAGAGAGGGTTGGTGATCCCCCGAAGTGTTTCAGCAACTTTTCAGGCTCTGCCTTTAGCGCTGTCTTCTTTGTACCAACTTTGCTGGTTATGTCACACCCTGTAAGACTGTGTATAGCCGGCAGTACTTCACAGAGCCGATTACCCAGGCGCTGGAACAGGGTATGAAGGGGTATATATCGAGTTGTATCTCCCATTCCAGCTCGCACCCACAGCGACTCAAGGTTGTGTTGGTGAAAGACGGGCATGTAGTAGAGCAGAGCAACAATAACATATGTATCGTTGGAGATTACAACACACACTTTGTGTCCTGCATTGAGAGAGTCCAAGACGTGGATAAGTATTCGGAGGTCAGCTTCTTCAAATGACGATTTAAGACGTGGCAATGCTTTTTCCATGCCTTGATGGACCATGATGCACTGCCAATCCTCGTCTTCTTTGGTCACTTGTCCGAGTACAGTGGGATATTGTAATGTTTCTGAAGTATTTGAACGAAGATGGCAGTAGATTAGCTTCTCGAGAAGAAGCTTATTTATGTTTTGAATTTAGAGCGAGCTAAAGTCGAGATACCTTTTATACTGACGTTAGCTCGGGTCTGAAGCGGACCTGACCACCCTCTAGAGCGGGATAACTTTAGCTCGGGCTAAGGGTGTTTCGGCCTTTTATACTGGGGGTTATCCCGCTTCAGGTCCGAACCTGTAACCTAAAAATTTGAACACACGCGAAATAATCTCCCTCTGAGCCCTGTCGTTTACTTCCTTGCACAGATCAAAAATATTAACATCTCCGGTCGACATAGTTTGACTAGCAGTGCTTACCAACTGCTTTGTGCCGGCTAAAACACATGAGTCACATAGCATGGCCGTGTCCCCATCTTCCGACAGCTCGTCATTGCTATGAATATTAGCAACTTTAAAAACTTCCCGTTCGCGAACACTGAAGTCAGGAAACTCATCGCCGGCACAGCCATCGTCCACCGGCGTGACACTGTTGGCCTGACGCCATACCCTGGTCGCTATCCAGCGTGTGTCGCAACCTGGTGGTGCCAGCTTGGCATCAAAGTTGAGGATCTCGTTGTTGGTGAGATAACGACGTAGCGTGTCGCAGTTCGCTGGCGGATGCAGGCTCTCCTTGTTGAAGTAGACCAACGATGAATCGTAGCCGATGAAGCCAAAACAGTCGAGCGTCGCCACCAGCTGTCCATGCTTACTGCTCAGCACCTGCTCTCCTTCACTGCTGCTGCTGCCGGCTGCCGGAACACTCGCGCGCTCCGTCTGCATCGTTGCCATGGCATCGTCCAACGTGTGCAGGCACCTGTCTAGCTCTTGCCGCGCATTCATGATGTCCCGCACGTCCTGGTCGGAAGCAACATCCACGAGCCCCTCTTTACACATCAGGAAGGCTGCGTCGTTTGATGAGGCTGGGACAGTGTCGGTGTGTTTCACCAGAGTCGTGTGTTTGCCCAGAGGTGGGAAATCGCCGCTGCACACGCTGTTAGTGGCCGAACAAGTGCCTCGTTTCTTGCTACTAGGACGCCATATGCGTGCCACGTCAAATCGCTGCGGCTCTTTGGCTGAAATCACTAGATCGCCCTCCAGGAGGAACTCATCCGAGTGCGACCTCACAAAGTCCGTCATGGAAATTGACTTGCCCGCGGTGACACTTCCTGTGAGCTCCTTCATCCTGTGTACGGATATAGAACCGTGTACCTTTAATATTTTCCTGACAAGCGACAACAGAATTGAGTCGACCGAGGAGTCGTCTGACTTGCTGGTGCCGTTGGGGAGCAGCGTTGTGGGTTCTAAAGGCTGTCTCGACACTCTAACTGCTTGCCACTCAAATGCAGTTTTCGGTTTGCCGGGAATCGCATGGAAATACAACGTTTCACCAATTTTGTAAGCGGAACAAAGATTCTTACTGCATGGACTATCCTTACTGCTTCCTTCGTCAGTAACTTGATGGTTAAAATATACCTTAGAGGTTCCGTTGTAATTTAGAACGCCAAATGTTGGTAACAATTGTGATATAGTTCCTGCAGCCGTGCTTATATCCGGCATGGACCTCAGAGAAACCCACCATTTTGGATCTATGAGAAAGACTTTATTGTATTGCAGTATGAAATTGTAAAGTGAATTAACGCTACAACCAATGAATTTCTGAACATTGTTATGGGAATTGTGCACATGTTCAGCCAAGTTATGCAGTGTGGCCTTTCCACCTTCCTTCTTGATAGACTCACTCAAGTATACAACAGAAGGTGCAACTTCTGCTGCAGTCGATGATGGGACGCCTTGTATACGCAAGTCGCTCGCGACTACAGCCTCAGTCCCAGATACAAAAGACACTTTGTTTTCTTTGTTAACAGAGAAGAACTTGCGATGTTTCTTGATAAACTTGCAGGTTGTAGAAATGTCAGTAAGATAGGCTCTCAGCTCCGGCGAAGCTTGTGCCCTCCTCCCAGCCAGTCTGCTCAGGTCTATGCAAGATTCGTTGCGTGACAGACACGTTTTCCGGAAGAAGTCGATGCCCTCACAGCTTAATGTTAAGGCTGCTTTCGCTGACGCTTGTGTACGTGTGACCATGCCAGCTGCTTCAAAATCACTATCCACAATTCTAACATATCCATGATCAAATTCAAAATTATCTGGATGTCTCTTTAGAAACATTACAAAGTCCAGTTCTGACTCGCCAACAGCTTTTCTCACATTTGCAGATGCCTGTGCCATTCTACCCATCAATCTAGCAGGTTCTACCTCCTGAACTTCCCAGTCATTAAAGGCGTCTCTGAAGTAGTCAACTGCATCGTCCTCCATTCCTGATCGAGTACTAGCTAACAAAGAACATTTTTAGTTTTTGTACAATTACTTGACACGGTATTGTTGGTTATGTAATGATGTATACTTTAAAGGTGGAGCCAAAGCCACAATTTACTATCCGCGCGTTGGCGTACGGCGCATGCAGGCTCCGGCCTGCGGCAACTGTACGCGGGCCGCTACAGTTCTAGAGCTAGGTGATGTATAGCTCTAGTACTATAGCCCGCTTACATTAACTGCCGCCGATTGTTTATACATGGTCTTTTAACCCTAGCAAGACCGTTTCTTGGAGCTAGGCACAGTCTCAGAACTGTCAGTTTCATTTTGAGTACTGAATCTGTCGTGGAGTTTGGCTTATGTCATGACTCAACCCCGTGTAGTCTATAGACAGAACAAATATTGCAGTTACGTGACTATAAGTCATGTTAAAGTACACAAGCTAATACAGCTTGCACCAGAGCTTGCACAAGCTAGCACCATAGATATACAAAATGTATTCTACGTACTGTATATCTATGCTAACACATATAGCTAATGCCTAGTAACGGGTGTATTATCACGGCTAACGCTCCATTAGGAGCGTTCCCAACTTTAATATCATTAATATCGTTATATAAAAGAGATATCAATGGGGGGGGGGTTAGAAATGAAATAGATATCAAGGGGGTTAGATATGAAATAGATATCAAGGGGGTTAGATATAAAATAGATATCAATGAGATATGAAAGTCGGCGCTTCATTTGAGTCTGATCAAAGCGAGCTTGAAAGGAAGGCGTTGCTCTTCCAAGTTAAACGTTCGCTTCGTTTCGCTTGCCTTCGCTGCTCGAGCAAGCGAAATGCAGAGCGGGAGCATGTTCGCTCGCCTTCGTTGCGCGAGCAAGCGAAATAGAGAGCGGTGTATCTTCGCTTCGTTTCGCTCGCCTTCGCTGCTTGAGCAAACAAAATACAGAGCGAGGCATCTTCACTTCGCTTCGCTCGCCTTTGCTGCTCGAGCAAGCGAAATACAGAGCGGGAGCATGTTCGCTCGCCTTCGTTGCGCGAGCAAGCGAAATAGAGAGCGGTGTATCTTCGCTTCGTTTCGCTCACCTTCGCTGCTTGAGCAAACAAAATACAGAGCGAGGCATCTTCACTTCGCTTCGCTCGCCTTTGCTGTTCGAGCAAGCGAAATACAGAGCGGGAGCATGTTCGCTCGCCTTC